TGATGAAGTGCTACGGGGGACTTTATATGCTGTGGTAATAAGTGAGTTTTGTATAGATTGTAGTTTATCCATGTGGTGCATGCATATTCTATGATGGGACGTATATATGTTTTGTATATTCTTATAATGTTGTCAGGTGATGTTCCCTGGTTTTTGCCTGTTAGACTTCTTGCATAATTTGTACGTTTCCAGATTTTTGTTAATATAAATATATATTCGTGTGTTTTTTTTTACCCACGTTAGTTTTGGGTCGTAATTTAATCCTAAAAATTTTGCAGTGTTTGTGGTCTGGAGAAGTATTTCATTCAAGTATAATTTAGGTGGGTCTTTTTTATGCTTTGTTAGTCTTGCGAAAGTAAGTAATTGGTTTTTAGGAACGTTTATTTTTATTTGCTATTGTTGGCAATATTCTTCTATATTATTTGATAATGTTTGTAGATTTGTTGCTGCTATGGATGGGGGTTGGACACTTTTCCAGACCGCAACATCATCCACGAATTATGATGCAAACCCATGATCAGGGTATTTTTAAAATATTGCTCACATACATGATGAATAGAATAGGGTTAACTACCCCTCCTTGGAGGCCGCCTGCCTCTTGGGTGAATGACTCAGAGTAGGTTCTCCTGACATTTATCTCACAATTTCCAAAAAGCCAGCGAATAATCAGCCACGGTAGTTCCATTTCCAGAACCTAAGACCATTGTGCCATACAATGTCGAAAGCTTTCTCGGCATCGAGAAAGCAGGTGACAGTGCATTCATTTTTATTAAAACTATCTATAATTATTTCTGTTAATCTTTGGATTTCTGGTAATTTTGAGGTGACTTCTAGGTAATTTGAGAGTCTATTGCTTATTATTTGTTCAAGAATTTTTTTTACACAGCTGGTCAGGCTGATCGGGTGGTAGTTGTTTGGTTTATTTGCTGGCTTTCCTTCTTTATGGAACATTACTACGATCGCTTGCTTCAGGGATAAATTAAAAGTCCTGTTAGGTGCAGACAGATATTAAATTACATGCTCATGCGGTAGCGCCATCCTACGAAACATCTATGAACTAATTACGCAAATAATTATAGAAATTTTTATCCGTTGTTATGAATTCAGATATAAGATTTAAGTGTGTTTAGAAGAGACATACCACGTTTAAGGAAAAACAAGAGAACAAGAAAAGAATAGTTAATGAAACTAATCGTATTCATCAAGACTGCGCAAAAATTATTAAGGGTTAGTGTACCTTAAAGGTCAACAAGCTATCACCATATATGCTTTAATTTACATAGTAGACAAAATGAAAATTTCTGGTATTTTAAAAGTTAGAATTCAAACATATTTATATGAAACAAAAATACTTCCTTAGAATAAAACAAACTTGTACTTTTTCTTTCTAGAAAGTAAAGAGGAGAGAGAGACAATGATGAGAGCACTGCGATCCTGTCGAAACGTATTTTCTCGTTATTACCTGAACGACGACTTCGAAGATGTTCAATTTGATTTTGAGCTTCTGGATGACATCATTATTGGGTCCCCCTTCTCGGTATTTATATAAAACTTTGGTGTTGAATGAAAATATATATTGTATTTGTGTGTGTGTGTGTGTGTTTTTATTCGTCTTTCTTTTCTTTGTATTTCCGTACAATACTGTGTGGTGTTGGCCTTAACTTAGCTTTTGTATCTTCAGTATTGTACGATTCTAATGGAAAAAATATAACATACATGGATGTGAATATTTAATATTAGAAGCAATTTTTATACTCCAGAGAACATATTTCAAGAGCACGGAACAGAATATTACAAATTTAATATGTACAGAAACTAAGATACTCAAGTTTGTTTCTATTTTTAATATATCTTTCTCGTTCAACTTTTAGGTGAAGCTAAAGGCCAAGAACAAGAACAGTAAAAATAAGGAGCATAATTTGAGAGTAATCCTCAGAGTTGATACCATGCTTTATACTGGTCAGTTGAAGAACTTGGTCAAGAAGGACAAATTTGAAATAAAACTCGCCCCCGGTGTAGGTAAGGACCAGTCGTAAGCTATTTGTTTTATAAGTAAACAACATTACATTCATCTTTGTCTACTATGCAAAGTCGCAAATATCACTGTTTCAAAAAGACATTATATTGTAATTTTCGAGAAAAAAAAACTTCGAAGAAAAGTTTCATATTGTTAGAAAATACTTCCAGAACTAGATATTGATTGTCAAATAGAGATATTTTACTAAACTTAGGGTTACGTGACAAACATAGTGAAATAATAAACTTTGTTTTAGTAAACTCATTTTTAAGTGATAAGTATGCTATTTAATACTTTAAGAGATGATCATGTTAGATAAGTTGATGTTAAAATATTCTTTTTTCTTAATAATTTATTTGATCAATCGATAAACGTTTACGAAAATTCTTAAGCAAATTATGAATATTTCGAATAAATTTATGATGAAAACATGGTAAATATTTTACAAAAATTATGAATAAATCAATACATTTTAAGTGAGTTTATGGTCAAAGGATGAGTATTTTGTGTAAATGTGTGATGAAAAAACGATAAAGTTGGATGTTTCCTTGACTATTTACGAAATAATTAGTAGTAACTTTATGAACACTAGACAAACAAATTAATTAATTCTGCTTCGTGTGTAACAAAGGAGCTTTCATGACCTGTAGTAACGATACAAGATAGAGGGTACTCCAGGTGGTCCGCAAGTCATGCCGAAATTTCATTAAAATATATTTTTTTTAAATATGGTTTCTAGAATAAATAATATTTTTCGTCAAATTAAATTTATATAAATTAAAACTTTTAATTTTGGAATATAGTTTTTCATGTACATGGAATCTTTTTTTTTTTTCTGATAGATTTGGAGGTCCCCGAAAAATTGTAAATTAAAAGGGATCTTCAGGTCAAACAAATGTTTCTGACCACCCCTGGTTATATTTCATTCCTCGAAGGGGAATGAAGTACATATTACTAACCTAAATACCTACCAAACCAAAAAGTAAGTAAAGTATAATTTGAGAACACCTGTTCTATGTGATGTGCTGGTTATTGGTTCGCAACACAGTTGTAGGAGGCATTGACTGCACAATAACCTGAGGTCAAAATTAGCCCCATTCACTTAACGTTCTTCTCTGTGTTTGGGCAATGTATACTTTCCGAAAAGGTTTGAGCAGTCCTAGGGGGGGGGGGGGTCTGGCCATGGGAGATATCTGCGAACGGTGCAGCATAAATTCTCGTTTATACTTGCATCTTGTAGAAGAACCGGCATGCTGACTTGGATGTCTTGTTTGATGGAGCCATACTTTATTGTCATTTAATCGGTACAAATATGGTATTTCTTCAGAGTATAGCGATGTCAGCACGTTAGCCTAATAATATGCAGAGTTCATGTTGCCATTTTGTTTGGTTTCTGTATATTTAACTTAACATTATGACTTTAACCTGCACGAATCATTTGAAAAAAATAAACTTTTGCAACACGCTCTGACAATATTAAAAATGTATCACAAGCAGAGCCAACCGTAGCTAGGGTAGAGTGGGAGGGGCAGTTGCCCAGGGCGTAGTCCGAGCGCTAAGCCTATTATTCAGTACTTTATGCAGAATTATACAGACTGGAAACAGGGCGAAAAAATGACTGGACTACAGCTCTGATCACAGACATTGTGATAATAAATTGCCAGGACTTTTGCAGACACTTAAGTAAAATATCTTTCATCCAGAATGACGACATTCTTTCACTTGATTGGTCTTCCGTTCGGCCATGTTTGTTGTTAAGCACAAAGCTACAAAATGGAATATCTGTGCTCTGCTCACCACGGGTATCGAAACCCGGTTTCTAGCGTTATAAGTCCGCAATCAAGTGTGCCTAATATTGTTGTCAAGCCTGATTTTGTAGTATTGGTTCTTCTGGTTCTATAGTTCAAGATGTGTACAGTTGTCAAGACTGCTTAATATTGTTGTCAAGCCTGATTTTATAGTTGTCAAGAGAGCCTAATATTGTTGTCAAGCTTGATTTTATAGTTTCAGGTAAAAACTTATATTAAAGTTTTTCTTCATTACCCATTCAAGCCGTCTCCAGCCATTATTAGTCTCAAAGTGGGTTCCTCGTCATCGAAGTAGAACCAGAAGACCTGAAACTATAAAATCAAGCTTGACAACAATATTAGGCTCTCTTGACAACTGCACATCTTGAAACGTAAAACCAGAAGACCTGAAACTATAAAATCAAGCTTGAATACAATATTAGGCTCTCTTGACAACTGTACACATATTGAACTGTAAAACCAGAATCTTCATTACCCATTCAAGCCTTCTGGTTCTACGTTTCAAGATGTGCAGTTGTCAAGAGTGCCTAATAATGTTGTCTAGCCTGATTTTATAGATTCAGGTCTTTTGGTTCTACATTCCATTGAGGGCCGGCCATGTGTTTTGGGAGAAGTTTGTGTATATCGTTTTCGTAGACCTAAGCAAGTGTGAATTACGTTATTTACAGTTTCAAAAGATGTAACTACTTCTTGGATTACTTCCGGTGACAAGCTGTTTAATTTTCTTCACTACTCCTAATATGTAGGCTGTTTTTTTTTCCTCCTGATCATTCCTTCTTTTGTCTTTCCGATATAACTCAACACTATACGTGTACATATCCTTGAAACGCTCAAAGTTTATGCCTTTATTTTTTTATAATCGCGAAATAGAAGAACTTCGTGTCAAATAACACTGTAATGTCACCCTCTACGGGTTTTCGACCGTGATATTAAAATAATTCTTGGCTACGATTCTTTTTCTTAGAGGAAGAGATGAAGATGTCAGTCTCTTATGATGAATATGATAAGATGCTTGTTGAACATTGTGCATTTAACATTGCTGCTTTGGCAACTGTTGTAGAGACTAATTTTGACTACTATGCCCAAGATGACTTCAGAGTGCGAAAACCAGACATTGCGATAGAGGTAAGGCTTGTTATTTTTCCTTTTAAAACACACTGTACACTCACAAAAAAAAAATAAAATAAAAAAAATAAAAACACACTAGTCTCAATTAACTAATGATTTCTTTGGAGAACAGTGGCAACTTTGTAGGGTGGCTAGAATTTGCGAAAGTATAATTTTTTGAAACTTCTTGAAGAAAATATCTTAATTAGAACAAATATACTTTTCCCATTGTATAACCACTGTACGAAATATCCACGAACTTTTAAAACTTTGAATAGTCGGTGTTGTCTTTTCCTGAGTTACAAATTGTGGCTAAGAATTTGTGTCTAGATTAACAAAAGATTTTAATAATTGTAATTGTTGTTTAAGTCACGTGTTAAGATAAACTTTGAGTATGTATCCGTTGTTTGGAGAAGTATTGGTATTCTACAAAATTGGAAGAGGTACAATGAAAACTTAGATAAGCCTCTTTATTATGAGTCATTCAATTGTAGCCATTGTTTATTAGAAGAAAGATTTATGATTAATTTTGTACAAATGTCTTAATAATGGTAACACCTGTCAAAGCTTAATTGGAGATTAAAATTTCATTTTTATTATTTTCAATTTATGTAACGTTGAACTCGTCACGTAACACGCCACACAAAATTGTATCCTGCTCCTCATATATTGTATTTATGTAATGATTAAGTCAGGTAACGATATTTTTAACACATTTAATTAATTTGTTATAGAACTTCTTAATTTGTTTTAATTTTTTGAATTGAATTAGCTGGGGGAAGAACCAGAAAAATGGCACATGGCTCATAAAATTGTGAGATATAGTTGGATACAATCATAAATAATATTCAACGTTAAACTGGTACACAATTTAAAACATTTATCTAGG